AGACCAGTCTTTGAATCACTTCATATTAGATACAATTTTCCAGATATGGTAATTATTTTAACATTATTCTATCTTTTTACATTGTTTTCCAAGACAGGATAAACATGGTATATTTCAGAGAACGAGTAACCATTTTCTATATTCTGATTAGCACTGCGCCCTGAACTTTTCAAAACACTAAGATGATAAAGAACATGCATAAAGTTTTCTATACTGAGCTACACTTAGTGTGCAAATTCTAGGGAACTTCAGTTGCTTAGAAAGCTAACTTATTTACCATATATTACATTAAATCTTTTCTTTTGTTCTGGGAAAATGGATTGAGTTATACCTTCCAAAACAATCTAATAGCTGTACCATAAATGCTGGGCACCTCCTAGCCAATAATGCAGGAACACAGATGTCTTTTACAGCTAATTCAACTGGAAACTGTGAACAGTTAGCATACTATAAGCTCTCCAGCTACATTCTCCCTCTCTCTCTCTCAAACCATAGCAAGGCAGAATGAACAGACTTAAGTTGCTGCCAAGGAAGTTGTGTGAATCACACAGTTCCTGAAAGCATACAATTAAACTGTTTAAAGCTCCTTTTTAAATGCTACTTGCAAGAGACAAGAATCTCTGCAGCGTTATGGAATGCACGAAATCTTCCTGTGAAAGCACTATTCACAATTACATATGCATTTGGTAATTAAATGAGACCATCTTAGCCACTAATATACAAAACATAGCTTGTTCTGAGACATTCACTTTAATCAGATGTCTGCCTCCTGTTCGAATTTACTGGAAAACCAGTTGGCAACCGAAGTGGAAAACGGACACATGGTTTTCTCCAGTACTTTGCAAACAGAAATACTGAAGGATTTAACTGTTTTTATTGAGCCTCACACTCATAAAGATACTTTAAGGGGAAAAAAAGAAACCCACAATGTCCCTGGCTAGAGTAAACTGTTAATCTTCTTTTGAAAGAGAGAAAACTGAAGTTGGGTAGAAGATAGAGTCACAACACTGGGAAGGAAAATCCATTTCCATCATCAACACAAGTAATTACACTTTAGGACATGAAGAAGACACTATTCCCTGCACTTAAGTCCATTACAGACTTTGGAATTATTACCACGACATTGACCTTTTTCTCCATATTTGGAAACACATGGCAACCTATAAGAAGGCAGTTATGTCACACGCAGAACTCAACTAGACTTAGTGCTATTAGCAACGTATTAACTTTCTGACTATCAGGAGAACTGATGACTGCCCTTATGGCCCAAGAACCTTTATTTTACCTTAAAATCACTGTATTCAGACTCCTATGCCTTAAACTATTGACTGGAACATTAAACTACTGCCTAAAGTATTTTGAGATCAACTCTTAGCATTATAGCTTGCTGACTGCAAAGGATTTACTCCTCGCACACAATGGCTGAAGTGGAAATAACCTCAAACTATAATTTGAATCCACATAAAGGTGACTCGAATACCTTCGAATGTGCTATTTTTAATTCTCCATAGTCAAATATGTCATTACTGGTATTTCGGTATTTTAGCTCGGAATTATTCAAGACTAATATATGGCTATATTTCTATTTATTAATGTTATGAAATAAACAACAAATTATTGCCTTCATACTTGGTTAAATTTCAATTTGAATTAATGCTAACTTACTTCACTAACCTTCTCCAGGAATTTTTTTTTTTTTCAATAAAGTACACTGGATTCCCTTTAGTAGCATTTTTGCAGCCACATAGGTGCAGGTCACTGAAAAATTCATGTGGGTATTACAAAGTGCTGGTGGCATTCATTGTCTAACTGGCAGTAAGTGAGAACTGTCTAGCTGAGCAAGAAATACAGCAGTCCACAAGGGTGTCAAGCTTTCGAAGGAAATACTAACAGAAAAATGGAGCAATAGGAATTACTCAAGATTTGGTTTCTAGTAATCATATTAATTCTCACTCTGAATAAAGCAACCTTACAGAGCATATAGGGGCACTGCAGATTCAGAGAGGAAAGTTCACTTTCTCCTAATACTGCCAGTTACCATACAATCACATATTCAACTGAGTAGGTACTACTGAACATTGTCCCAATCAATATTTGTGGACTCCAGCTGAGCTCACTGCAGTATAAAGCCGTATTACTTGCCTGCCTCAGGACAGTTCAAAGTTCTTGTTTCCAACTTTGGAACTGTATTTTTAATTGCCTTCCATTACAGATCTAATAAAGTCTAAGCCCTTGATTAAGAATTACAGAGTATTGGTGATGATCACATGCTATGCTGCTATGACTGAAGTTAGAACTTCCACATCATCCTGATGAAATGCTAACATCAAAACCCTTGTGTAAAGCATTTAAACATGAGCAATACAAAGTGAAAGCCAGAAAACAAAAAAGTTCACTCGTATGTCTGTTTTATATATGTAAGATATAATCATATGAGAGGCAATGACTTAGTTTTAAGTTTCAAGTATGAAAAAGCAAATCCTCACAAAAGCAAAATCAAATATTACATGATGTAGTGGGTTGACCTTGGCTGGCTGCCAGGTGCCCACCAAGCTGCTCAATCACTCCCCCTCCTCTGCAGGACAGGGCAGGCGAAAATAAGACAAAAAAACCCTTGTGGGTCAAGATAAAGGCAGTTCATTGAAGAAAAGCAAAGGCTGCATGCAGAAGCAAAGGAAAACAAAAAAGAATTTATCCTCTACTTCCCATCAGCAGGCAATGTCCAACCACTGCCTGGGAAGAAGGGCCTCAGCACTCGCAGCGGTTGCATTGGAAGACAAACGCCTTAATAACGGATGCCCCACCTCCTCCTTTTCTCAGCTTTTATTGCTGAGCACGTCATATGGTATGGAATATCTCTTTGGTCAGCTTGGGTCAGCTGTCCTGGCTATGTCCCCTCCCAATCTCTTGACCACCCCGAGCCTACTGGCCTTTTTGGGGAGGAGGGGGTGGATTTGGAGAGACAGCCTTGATGCTCAGCAGTAGCCAAAACACTGGGGCATTATCCACACCTTTCTAGCTAAAAATACAAAGCACAACACTATGAAGGCTGCTATGGGAAAAGTTAACTCCATCCCAGTCAGACCCAATATACATGTCTGTACAAAGAAAGTGTTAATTAAGAACTCCTTTTGAACTTCTCTAGTTAAAAAAAAAAATTCCTCCTGTGAACTACTTCCTTACATTTTACACAGCTATTAATAATACTGAGCATTGGGGGGGCGGGGGGAGAGTGCATTCCTGAAGAAATGTCTTCTTCCAACTTATTATTTCTTGGAAGAAATTTTATTTAAGTAGATTTATTAAGTAGATTTTACTCCTTTTTCCTTAGAACTGTATGGACTGAAGACCAGGTCAAATGTTTATCTGACTCTGGGATTAGCATTCACAATCCTGAGACAAACGAGAGGTCCCTTATAAATGACTGGCCATTTGACACTCAGAAAGGGTTTCACAGCAGCCAACATGAAGAGCTTGGAGGCGGAGGAAAAACACCCTTATTTATTTTTCTCCTTTCATATGTAGCATCTTCCTTTTTCTTTCTCTCTTTCATTCACTTTGTCTCTCCCTCATTTGGTGAGAAGAAAAGACATTTTGAATGCCAAATGAAATTGCTTGTCAGATGTGGTCTGGACCCCTTGGGTTTTTTTACATTCACACATGGTTTAACATAATGAGACAGAAAATTGGCCATTCAGGTTTAAGAGATTAAAATAGAACAGCTTTTGAGATAATGGCTCCTATAGTAGTGAGTACATTTCACATAGTCTGATGTTTGTTTAGGCTGTTCATAGAAATAAACTGTATTGGTACAGCAGATTTGTTTTGGTCAACTTATGGATGGTACTGTAGTTTTTTAGATATTGCTAAAAGCTATTACAAATCTTTTGTCCTCCCACTTTACACAATGAAATTGTCTCAAATTTATGTGTTAGTTCACACAGAAACCTGAAAGGAGAATTTCCTGTGTTATTCACTGCATTGATTCGTTTGTACTGAAAGAGCGCTCTTCGTTCTTCACTTAATAATGAAAATGCAAGCATTTGTAAAAAATGACACAATCTAATTTCTGTTCCAATGCTAACAAACACCCTGTGTTACCCCTCGAACTGCAATTGTTTATACACAAGTCAGCAATCTTTATTGATGACTCATGCTACTGATAACACCTCTGAATTACCAGGTCTGGCTTCTGGACAAAAAAGCTTACAGCAATACTGCTGGGAATCATGGTCCCTCAGTAGACTCTGATATGGTAGCAAGGTTAATTGAAGACTTGGTATCGATACTGACAACCTTGGCAATTTACACTGGTCAATTCCAGGGATTAATTTTAGACGTACTGTGCTGTAGCTGGGTTTTTAATCTCAGCAGAAGAAAGTCCAATGCTACCTATTAAAAATGTGAAACCTACTAATAAACCACCTTAGAAATGCACCTCTTTGCCATCCAGGTAACTCTGTTCTCCAGAAAAGCAAATAACAGTACATCCCTCCTCTACAACCTCTGCAAATTAAATCTTACTTCTGAAATCAAATTGTTTTCAATCATTTAAGATCAATGGATTTGTTTTGCCTAGTCAAATGAATGCTGATATGTGTGAAATCAATCTTGATATGTGGGATAAATTTGTTACTGTAAGAACCTCTGAGGGTGGATATCATAAAGGAAGAAAATTATTTAAGACAAAGGACAGTGCTAACCCAAGTACAAGCTGGCTATGTAGAAATCTGCAGTAAAAATCAGATCTTTTACAACTATCAGAGGAGTGGTGTTCTGGATCAAGGATGCTCTGAAACTGGGCATCTGTATGGAAAGGGATCAATTCTCTGACAGCCCTTACAAGATAATTCTGTAATTGCAACAAAAGCCCACATTTGAAACTGATTAATTCCTCCAAAACCCCTCTGATATAAAATGGGTTTTCCCATATACTTCAGTGGAGGATTTCTGTAATTAAAATTATTTCCTTACTCAAATTTTCAAATGAAGTTTTATACCTGCAAGATCTTCTTTGGAGGAAACCAGTCGAGGAGAGCTGTTACCTGGCTCAATTCTTAATGATAATCTGGAAAAACAAGTTTTTAGAGAAATTAACAAATAAAATTTGTCAATAAAAGTTGAAAGAAACTGAAGAAAGTAATTATTTTGGCAGTGGTAAGCAGGAATTTTACTTTGTTGAAAGTGTAGTTATTTACTTTGTTATGTAACAAAACAATACATTTTTTCAAGTAAATCACTACCTGTTAGATCCAAGAAAGAAACTGTGAGGGAAGCTTATGAAAACAGAAATGGAAATTGATATTTTATACTCCCTATCAGTGTAAAAATGTAAGTTCATATAGTCTTTCACCGGGTAAAAAAAAAACTCCAAAAGTCAGTAAATTTAGATACAAACCTAATAGCAAACATTTTATTCCCTCTGTGCATGAAAAGTGAATTTATTCTGTTATTATGTGGAAATGTGCACTCAGAAATAGCTATTTAGAAATATTAGTTACTATGACTTACAGAAAAGGAGCATAAGTGGGTAAAGTGACCAACACTTAATAATAAAAGAAGATCATTAGAAGAAAGTTATAACATTATATGCCCCCCTGCCTCACTCCACGTGTTTTATGATGCACTCACTGTTGCCTTATCTCAGCACTCCAACACGTCTTGATCTTCCAGTGCATATGACTTCTGCCACCTCTCAAGTTTACGCTCTCTTAACTTGACATTCATGGGTCCTTTATTCTGTACCAGTTTGACAACAAAGTATGGAGCACTACAATGTTAAGTAAATTTTAACCGCACAGGCATAAAACCAGAGGAAATAACTGCTGTCATTGCACAGCATTAAACACGCAAAAAAGCTGTGAAGGTTTCGAGCTACAGGCTGCAGTACTCTGCTGTATACAAACACCAGTGGAAGTCTTTCTAACTTAGATGAAAACATGCAAAGGGGTGGGGGTTAGGAGGGGGGAGGGAAGGAACCTATGACAGCATTTCAAAATATCACATATGGCTTAACTATCACTTTCTTTACTACCTTGTCTTTCACGCACACAGAGTTTTATGGGGAATGCCTTCCAGTCCATTCTCCACAGTATTCAAACATTGTCAATTATATTTTAGTGTGAAGTTAATTAACAAACCTATGGTCCCTTTTCATGTTTTAGAATTTCTATTCTTCTGATAGTACTAGATTCTTTTAATTATCCAAAGTATTTCAAGTAGGTAATGGATCATTCCTTTCCAGACTATCTTTTCTTTCTGTCAACATGATTTCCATGACCAGGAAGGGGCAACAGGCTCTCCTAGAAGCCAACAATGAGAAAGTTACAATAATATAACTCAGTGCATGATTCAAATGTTAATCATATGGGAATTCCTTTCAGTATGGAAAAATGGCAAAAAAACTTAATGAAGTCTTTCCCTGTAAATAGGGCCCTACTGTGTGAATTTATCTTCCATGTCTGTAGAAATGTTCCAGTTGCATCCCTCGCACAGTAGTTACTCCTTTGTTCATTTTTAAGGCTGATCTGTTCCTCACTATATTAGAGGCTTATTGTTCCCATGCTGTGAGCTTGATTTTTGCGCAGAAAGCTTTTTAAAAAAATTTCTCCTGCAGAACTGTGCTATTTACAGATCTTGAGAAATTTGGGTATTAAGCTCATTATACTGGGTTAGCGCCTATTTGATGAACCAAAACCCTTGTGCAAAACAGAACACTCATTTCAACTTGTTTCACATAACAGTTGTTATCCAAACAGAAGCAGACGACCCTTCTCCTGCTAACCCGTCACTGTTCCACAATTGCTGATTTTTTTCTTCTATTTCTGTCTGTACAAGGGACCTGTTACCTATCCTTCCCCACATGTGATAACTGCATGTTTTAGTTTTGCGAGCTTTGAGGAACTCATCTCTGATGCTCTTTCCTTATCCTGTTATCAAATAAATTACTCAGTTTTATTAGTCCCCTGTGGCAACAGCCACAATTTATTTGGTCACTGTGGAAACGTTTGTCTAGTAAGCCCATTTGCGAAAAGATATGACTGCAATTCAGTCCATGTAAGCAAACAGCTTCTCCCTTTTACAATGATGTGATCTGTAATGCATTCCTCCTGAAAATTTCTTGCTTTATTAGACTAAAAGGAATTTAAATCTGTATGTAAGGATTACAGACTAGACTCTTATTCTTAAGCATGCTGAACTGAATCGTGCTCATTAAGCAGGTCCAGTCTATCATTTCAGATAACTGTTTACAGAATTAGGTATTTTTCAGAGCAATTGTGGCAGGACCACCTCACACACTTGAGGCGGCCACAAATCACTTGTCCAACTTTACATTTTTTATCAACTTAATTACCTTACTACGTATCAAGCTCCAAGACCCAGTACAACTCTTACTCGTTTGAAAAACAGCACAGGTGAAATACTGCCTACAAATATGTACATGAGGGGAAGTGCCATGACCTGCTATCAGATTTAAGGCAAGAGCATTCTTATACCTTTAGTGATGAGAACATCTGACAACTTCCATGCAACTACTTGTACCATACTATTTGTCTCTTTCTGTTTAAAAATACTCTTGTAAAGAAGAAAAGGGGAAGATAACAGCAGAAAGTAAGACCTAACACCTTTATGCTTTTAACAAGGTTTTAGAAAGAGGCATGGTATTATTATACAATCTAGAAAGCACCTGTGGTGTGTGCTGCACTTAAAAGTTCACTGACAGAGCAACAAGTGAGTCTTCAGTGCTATAAAATGATATTACATCACTTTCCACTTGTCATCTCTCTAGAAAATGTTAAGTTAGATAATGTTGTTTATCTGTTTGATTATGTTAAAATACACTCTGAAATCTTAGCCCTTGCTAAGTCTCTGACAGTTTGGTCATTGACTTCAACAATGCCAGAATTCTGCAATGTTTTCAAAATAACAAAAATGCAATTTAGCTATTCAACTTAGGAAAATACAGGCTCTATTAAAAGAACAACAAATAACTATGAGTCTAAATTTGAGTTTTGGTAAATATAAAATACTCATGCTGACATGTTTAACAAAATATTTAAAATAAACTGTGAGAAAAGGGAATATATTCTGACAATGAGATGTCATTCCTGGACCACTGCTCTCCTCCTCCCTCTCTCCCCCCGAAGGCTGGAAACAATCAAAAACATTGTTATTTCAAAGAAGAGATACTGACAGTCAGTACAGTTTCAACCAGTCTTGGCTTGTTTGCCACCACCCAAATTCATTTTTGCAATTCCTCTGACACTGCATTTTCCACTGAGAAGCACAGGTTACATGCATGCACATGCATACTCATCTGCTCTCACCTCGCTACATGTGCATATAGTTATTCCCTCAGCATGAGCAATGTCTCCCAAATAGCACTCACAGCGTCAGAATCTTCGGCCCCACAGAAGCTTAGTGTGATACTATTAGTAGGTCTCTGCAGACTTTGATGCCTGATGTGCTTACAACCAACATTCATCATTAAATAACACTCTGCTACCGAGTGCCGCCATATAGCTCATTTAAGAGTAACCTTCCCGATAAGCAGGAAAAGAGGAACCTAACATAATGCAGAAAATAAAATAGGTAGCCAGCCTTGAACATAGTTCTGTTTCACGGGAGTATGCTCTCCAGTACAGGATGAAACGTCTGCTAGGACAGTAAAGCTACCTTTACTCAATTCTCCTAATATTAAGCAAGTGAATGAAGACAGAGAATAGCCTTACATGAACAAGAAATTTAGCTGCTCCATGAGGAGGTTGAACAAAACTTATTCATCTTTCTTGAGACAAGGAAGATCTAAGTTGCAATAAAGCAGTGCAGTCCTCAAAGCTGTCAAAGCTCAGGGCGTTTCTGACCAGTAATTGTGTACGAAGCAAAACGTGTCTGACACACCTGGAACGTTTTGGGCTGCCTGTGTAGCACTTAAACAGTAGGTCCAACAGTTTCTGGAAACTTCACTGTCCCCTGTGGAAGAGGCAGCCAAGTCACAACTACAGCTATTGATCCATATGGCCACTGGATCACTACAAATCTCAGACTAACAGTGAAGGTTTCCCCCTACCCCTGCCTTTGACAACAATTCTTGGAGGAAAAGGTCCAGGGAATATAACTGCCTGGGAGGCCTATTTAAGATGGACTGTAGCCAAGGTTCACTGTTATAGGTACTAATATTTTAAGCACCTGCCATACAATTCCTGTTACCATAAGACCAAAACCAATATGGTGCAGCTGGCACTTTTATAGCGCCATCATTGTTACGAGTCAGTATAATGTTTTAATTGCCTATTAATTTTTCTTGGATGCTTTCCCATACCATCCTGCCTAACAATCTAAATTTGAACTGATTTTTCTGTAAATCATCTTACCAGTATATTGGAATATCAGTGTCTTGCCTAATATGCTCTAAAGAACTGAATTATATGTATAGATAGCAGCCTACAGAACAGGATTCCAATCCCGATTGTCCTGTCCAGATAGCACTGCAATACAAATAATAGCCTTCAAACTGGCTTTACTCAAAGAACAGCTGTGGAGAACAGCAAGGCCAATGTAGACCAAGAACAACTGTGGAGAATACCAGGGCTGACCTAATGATATCAAAAGGTCAGCAAAAAAAATTGTTTTGGAACCACTGCAAGGCGTGGCAGGTTAGGAAAGGATGTGGCATGATGCCACGATGTTTGGATAGCGCTGTCTAGCCCAGGGAAAAACTGCATACCTGGGGACAAGCACTCTCCTCAGATCACTTCTTATGCTCCTGGGGGAAGAAGAAGACCCTGCGGCAGCTGCATCATGGTATCTCTAAAGCCCACTGGCTGCCAGTGATGCCCTGAGATAACGATGACCAATACATTTTGGGTGTAACTGGAAGGAATCCTGATGCTTTAGGTCCTATTTTTTTGCTCCCTTAGTCTTGTAACTAGCCAATGTTACAATTTCTCAGCTTCTGCAGAGAACAGTACATGGGCTGAGCAAGAAAGATCTATTATTTTTAGGATATGACATCATTGTCAGGGGTTTTCTGGAGTGTTTGTACTTGCTGACAAGCACGAACCTAAAGCAAGCAATTGGACTGGCACAAAAAACTGTAGAGAAAAGCTTTGTTTATATAAAGTGGCTGCCAAATTTTCCTTTTCAGTGTAATTGAGGTTCTCATTTGGCGAAATGTGTATTGGGATCCTGCCAATACATTTTAGGGCAAATATCTAAGCTTCTCTCCCTGACAGCCTGGTACTGAGATAGTTCTGTTCTCCCTGCCAAAGGTCAAGCATACATCTCTTCAGAGTACACTAATGCTGTCCCTGGCTCAAAAAGAGCAGTCACTGGAAAGAGAAAGAGAGAGGAGATTCTTTCCCACAATAAAAACTTAGTACTCTTTGCCTTTTTAAGGCTTACAGTTTCTTCTGACATGGGACCAGAAAATACTATGAAACTGAAGATCCATTATGGAAAACTGAGAGGAAAATGTGAAATCAAATATTCAAAACAAAATCCAAAAACTCCTTATCAAATACAAAGATGGAAGAGGAATGAGAGTTCTCTTTAAGGGTACTTGTGATGAGTTTTGATGAATACAGACTTTAATTTAAAGCTTTACTCTGACGAAAGAAACATGACAGAAAAAGGTCAAAGTTCTCCAATGTATATAAACTGCAGCAACTTTACTAAGCTAAGAAGTAAATCTTTCCCTCTTTTTAATACCTCTTGAGACTTCAGTCCAGTTTTTCCTTGCCATAGTGAAGCCTAGAAAGAAAACTGCTAAATTTTATTGAAATATTCTCATAAATAACTAAATCAAAAGAAAAAGTACTAAACGATCTTTAAGATACATCAAATACCTTTCAGCATTATCAGCAAGGCTGCTGCTGAAGTTAAAATGATTTTCAAATTTAAACTGGAATTACTCATGACTTGTAGTTTTTCCAAATACTACGTTATAGGATCATATACTTATAGAAAGTTTAATCTATTTTTCCTAAGATATTACAGTTCATGAAAGCTATTATACATATAACGTTAACATTGATGCATCATCAGGGAACTCCATCTAAAAATCAAATTAAGCAACATGACCAGTTTCTTGAATTCAGTCCAGGAGCTGTAAAGCCTATACTAACTATAATTCTTCACCTTTACCAACTACTACTCAGTTTAATTTTGCTCTATGTTCGTGACTTTAATAAAGCATGCACGTATGTGGCAAATTAGTAAACAATGACCACTTGTTAAATTTTAACACTGAGATTTACATCTCAGACTACCCTTAACACAAGTCTTGGACTGCCTGACCTTTTCAAAAGGCTGTGTGCAATGCTAATGTTCAATATGCATCTGTTGCACAATGCATGTCTATTTGTGTGTGTGAAACATATACAGTGTCATAAGACTGAGAAAAGGAAGAACACATGCATTCTATCATCAGTACTCTGGCAGGAATTCTAATTCCATGAAGCAGATAAATTTTGCTACAAAAACATCACACAATCTTTTTCTCCAAATAATTTTCCTACAGAAACATCACTATTCTTAGTATCTGTGATCAACCAGACACAAAAGCACAAACCTATCAAACCATAGCCAAGTATGATCTTTTGCAGTGAACTACCCAATGCTAGTTCAGCTTCTTTTGCTGAAGTTTTCCCTAAGTAAGGGGACAAATTTTGGACATTTTCGCTCTATTTGAAGTATGTCCTGATAATACTTGGAGAAGTTCCAAAAGAATACCTTGTCTGAATGGTTTTACTTTTAGAATTATTCTCTCAGGAAAAGCAAGTTCCACACACATTTATCACAACAATCCATATCGACCGATTTGGCTGAGGAATAGTACTGTATGCACAGTGGCCTGAACCAGAGATAAGTGGAACAGCTTTGGCAGCTGGAGTTATCACAAACTGCAGTTACGTTCAAAATCAAAGAGCAAAAACAAATCACTGGACTCATGCTATGCTCAAATATGTGGGTTTTTGATATGGTGACACCTTCATTTCCTGAACTGTTTCAGTAGGATTTTGTATCTGTATGCCAGCAATATCAGTTATAATTGCAGAGAGATGTAGAATGGTTAGGGTAGGTCATTCTTTATGCTTACATGTACATGACCCCACACTGGTAATACAGAGTCTTCTGATTCACTGAATCTGCTCTTTTCTTTTCACAAACACTAACTGGTAGCCTTCATTTCATTAACCGATCAAGTTTCAACTTAAAATTATTTAATTATTTTTCTCACTACTCTGATTAAGAAGCCGTTCCAGAATTCCATTACTGTGATGGTTAGGAACCATATTTCAACATTTAGCTTCTAAATTTTTGTACTCATTTATCTTTGTGCTACCATTACAATTTAGTTTAAATTGCTCTTTACCCTCCCTATTTTCTCCCCATTGTGTTTATACATAGTGATTCTATTACCTAAACGTCTCCTTTTCTAGGCTAAAGCCAAAGCTAGTTCTTTAAGACTGGTGTTACAAGACAGACTTTATTCACCTGATTGCCCCAGCATTTTTTTAAACCCACTCTAAGCATGGATGGCCAGAGTTGTGTACAGTACTCCACATAAGGTCTTATCAGCTTCTTTTGAAGGAGTATTAATGATTTAATTTTTTGTAGAAACACTATATTTGATACAGAGTAGGGATGAATTCGTCTTTTCATGGCCGTATCTCACTTCTGACAGACATCTACTGATCAACACCATAAATTATTGTTAGAATAAATACATAACATTTTGATTTTTGTGTCATTCATTTTAGTCATCAGGTCATCTGATTCTTCCTTTGTGATATCCAAATCATGTTCTACTTCGGTGAACCCTTCCAACACTGTTTTATTAGCATATGGTCTAAGTACAAACAAATTTGGAGACAAAGTTCTTAACGGAAGTGTTTAATAAAACTGGTAACAAGACTGATTTTAAACAAGTTCATTAGCAACCTTGCTCTCCAAAACATATTCTAAAATCTTTCCTACCACCATCATATTACTGAACATCTGGTTGCCTTGAATACTTTTAACTCTGTTCACCTAACTAGAGGTACTATATTTGTCAATAGCTAATTATATAGCATTGCGTCTACGTTGGTTGAGTTATGCAAAACCCTTGCTGCCAGACCTATGATTTAATGTGCTAGTTCTTTCAGAATTATTGGCCAGGGATTATCGCCTCCTTTAACAGGAGAACATTCACATATTGACCAATGTGCTCTATGGTGTCTATTTCACACCATTGTGTGGGTTAGCTCTTCTCCACCTCTTTTGTAAGCATTGCTTTAACATGCTTAAACCCCCAAAATTGTCAGGTTTATATCTTAAGTACCAGCTTATTAAAAACAGTAATTTGAAATTGGAAGATGTTTTTAATGTATTATTTACAATAGCATAGAGTCAATCCTGGACATCTTGGAGATGGTTTTAGGGTTTCTGAACAAAATTCTCAGAATGCAGCCATCATGTAATAGAATAAAGACTAGATTTTCATCTGCTTTTAACTTTTACAAAGATATTTCATTTTGGAAATCTGGTTAGAGTCATAAAGGAAGACTGTCATTCTGGATTTTACTCAGGCATCCTGGTATTATCAGCTCCATTAATAAAATACTACGAACACCAGACAAACCCCAAAATACCTTCAGCCAATAGCTTTTTGTTCAACTCTTAATCACACTAACAGCCAAGTGATCTTTCCATTAAATTCCCCAAACCTGAAGAAAAGAATAATACTTACTTATAATTGTCATCTTCTACAAATTTCTGAAGTTCTTCAATGTAACGGACAGACTTCAAATACTTTTGCACGTGGGGCAATGTTGTAAGATGATCTGTGGAGTGTTCAAACAAAAAAAAGATGAACATTCACGTCATCCAAAGTTAATTATTCTTTCAGGTTTTTTTTCTGATTCTTATGATCATCTTAATGGAAACAGAGAATTTGAACCTTCCTAAAGAATAAATCAGGCAGAAGTATTACTTTGACTCTAAGAAGATGTTAAAGATTTGATTGAGCAAAAGTGATGTTCAGTTGTTAAAGAAAACACAGATGCATTTCATCATCATGAAAGCTAGTGGATTTTACTATATGCTATCTCACAAGTGGAAAAGTGTTATCTGCTGCAAACCCTGCTTCAGTTTTGTGCTCACTGTTCTGGGGGAAATTAAAGCCTGCACCCATGGCTGTTAGTGATTCTCATATGAACATCAAGTGAAGAGACTTAAAAATTACAATGCTGAATACCACGATAGAAAGACGGTAAATTCAGAATGACAGAAAAATCCTTTGACGCATGGTGCATGGACAGGAACACACCTTGTAGTATCTAACTTAACTTTTATGCTCTTGTAAAGGCAACTGTTTTAAAGGCACTCGTTATTCCAGAATGTTGTTTCTTCAAGGCCATATTTTAATTTTCATTCTGATTTTAACAAAAGCACCCAAAATTAATGCATAGCAATGCAGGAAGCCGCAAAAACTGTAAAAACGAAAGGGTCAGTGAAATAATGAGGTTTCTTTGTCATTCAAAGTATTCAAAGACAAAATGAAACTCACAATAAGAACATGATAGCTGAATAATCTAACTATTCAGATCATACATTATTATGCCTAGTCCCTACCTTTAAATACTTTATAATACTGAAGTTGACAACAAAGAACAAGGGCTGGATACTTAAGCATACACAATTTCTCACCACATTTTCTCACAATCTAACATTTATTTTTTTTCTATTCAAAACTCTCAAAAACTGTAGCATTTAAATGTTCTGAATTTATTTAATTGTACAGCTGCTCTCAAGGTTTTCCAGCTTGTTTCATGTTTAAGCAATGAAAAGTCGTGCTAAGTCACCAACAATACGCTCAGTATTTGTTATGACCCCAAAACCAGCACATTTCTTGACATAAGGCTTCACTAACAGGCTAGAATTGCACAAATGAATTTTAGAGTAAAATCTTGTTAACAAAAAGAAGCAGCCCATGTTTCTCACTTCATCAACAAGTGAGGTATGTGGAAACAATTTAACAACTGTTGTATAGATTGAAATATTTATATTTTGTTTTGTAAATGTATCATCAGGATACTAACAATAAAATGATAATGAAATTAACACATTCTACACTCCAAAGACACCCTATCTACTGCAAAGGAAAGGAAAGATATTAAGATAATTCTCTCTGACTGCTGCTGGTGGAAACAGAATATAATCCAAATGCAATAGCTGTACCTGAAAGTATGTAATCTGTAGTCCGCATGTAGCAGTAAACTCTGCACAACTTCTGTAACAGCTCTTACATTTTAGAATACATGCTTATTTGCCTAACTTACCGGTAAGACTAAAACTGCACAGAAGTGGAAGCTACATCACTTACCAGTGTTCAACTCTACCAACATTAGCCTCTTGTGTTGCCTTTACAGAGGGCCGAAACCTGCTTTCACAATGTTGTACTAAAGAAATTTTAGTTAAGGCTTAATAGGTATAACAAAATTTACCAACCATAGTTACAGGAGACTTGCAGATCAGCTATTATTCGGAGAATATTGTTCATTTGATTGGATCTTTGTTCATTCTCCATAATGCTGCCTGAAGCAGGATATGCAGAATCAATGTAGATTAAATCCAAGAGATAAATTCCTGAAACAAACAAATCAATCAACCAATTGATCTAGTGTTTCAAACATAAATAGCTGCATAATTTTTAACGAGTATAACAGCCAGCAACTATTTACCTCCACTGTGGTCTGGGCCCATTAAACAAAGGAGAGCTTGGGATTTGCATGTTGAAAAATTTCATAATTAGTGCTTGAGTTCTGTGACACCTCTTAAAAAAGGACAGAAAAGATTTCGCTCATGTGCACTTATACAGGCTAATGTCTACTATGAGCAATTTGCGGGATCATAACAAGGACATTAAAAAGAGTGACAGCTGCCACAAACTGCTGATGACGGTGCAGGCAGGCTGCGTGGAGCTGACAGCAAGCACAACAGCCTCTGGCCACAATGAATAGAGTTCACCACTGCACTGTAGTGCCTTCTAGGTCTGCCACTATTTACTACATTAAGATTACTGCATGTTTTGGCTGAGGCTCCAGGCTGCATTTGCTAGAAGGCAATAGGAGCTGATAGTTAGGTTTTGATTATGTGATGATTTAAAAAAGCATAAAGAAAAGGGTTTTATTTATGAATTTCTTAATTGAAAAAATGGCATAGTTATTTGCCTAGGCCTGGATTTCTCAGTAAATACAGAAAGATGGTGATTATTGTAGTTGCCAAAAATGCTGATTGTTCTAATTTGTACTGCACTTTCCCAAAGCACTGGCTGACTAGACAAAATGTCATTTTTGGTTGGTAAAGAAGCATGTTATACACAGAAGTCGTGTGTGGCAAGACGTCAGCTATCTTCATCAACAAAAATATACCTATATCCAATGTTTGGTAGGCAGGTATTTTGCAGAGTTAGTCTCTGTGGTACAGTACTTTTACCTTTACAAATTATCTAAGAAAGAAAAAGGCAGGCTTAAGGCTGAAATGAATTCATGATACAGCGTAACATTTCTTGCGTGGTATCCAACTGCTTTTTATCAACACATGCCATTCAGTTTCACACATACCATTATGATTTGTAGTGGGCTTCTTTTACAGCCCTAGGACAGTTAGAAAGCAATCACAAACAAAGGGAAAAATACTGGCTGGGAAGAACATACAATATACAATCATCTTGAGAAAACTGAATCATCACTGAGATTGCCTAGGAAGTTGTAGTTTTCAACTCTGGAAAATTGAAAGATAAGTCTGCAACACAGTCTCGCAAAACTCATGAAAGCTACTATGAAAGCATAATGCAAGGCTCATCTATTTACTTCAGTAACTAATTGAATGCATTTAAACGAAGATGAGGAAAAGTAATGGTCTTGCCTTTTGTGAGGATACTTTAATCAGTTTTAGTATTTCAATTGTATGAATGCAGGGAAGGAGCACAGAGGCTCTGAGCGTGTGTGTAAAATTAATTTATTTTAGACTTCTAGCTATGCCCTCTGTTGATCAGGCCTTGGGTGCAGATCACAGGAAGGAATAAAGTCGTAATGCACAGTACTTCATCTCTTAGTGAAGTGGAATAGTTAGTCTGCTGAGGCAGAGTTATAACAATACACTTCGTCGTCTCCAGTGTGTCCTTGGCCACATGGGCACTCTGTGACTAAGACCTCCTGAAATAAGTGAGGGCAATCACCATATAAAGGGGGCTTGCTGCTATTTTGCCTCTTCATGGAGCCATGTGACAGCCAGACATACCCAAACTAGACAATACAAGAAAGAAAGTGCAGCTTCATCCATTCTTAACATAGGTTTTACTTTTTTTTTTATTAAAAAGATCCTATAACTGCATGCCCAATCTGCAGGAAATACAAAGTGCTTAAATTCGTAATCATGTAACTTTGAACACAGGTTTACAAGCAATTTATACAAAATTTACACAAACGCAAAGCCATTGCCAGTAGTGATAAATAATAATGAATTGGATGCAACCCAAATACTGTAATAGCACTTGAAGAAATCTTTTATATACCGTCTTCAATATTCTTACTTCTATTGATAAAATGAAGTGCAGATCAGATTCTGTTGAAAACCACAGTTTACATAGTGAACTTAGAGCAAAATATAGCTAAGTACTAGCAGGACTAAATCAATCTTTTCACATCTCAAAACTTAATGATTCTGTATGAATTAAAAAAAAAAAAACAACAAACAAAAAAACCTGTGCACAACGGTGTGTGTCACTTGCTATGATTCTACTAAGCACTCCAGATAGCATGAAAGCTTGGACCAATGGAGGCAGCTCAAAGCAGTAGTCTTTTACCTGATTTTTGCACATCATATAAAGACAACCGCTAGCTAAAGATGGCGACACATTAATCAATCATGACAAACATGGTCAAACTATATTTTGTAGCTACATATTATTTACCTGTTTCAAGACAACGCTCTATTAAAATCCACTGTTATCAGCTCCTTTCTCTGCATATCTTGAAATCTCATGGCTATTAAGTCAAACATTAGTTAGCAACAGATTATATTCATTCAAGAACAATTTTATTTAAAAACAAGCTAAGTAGAAATATTCTAATCTTCTGTTAGATCTGAAATAGAATCATTCTGAAACTACACTGTAAAAAGTTTCTATTGAGGCAAAATCCACTGGAAACAATAGCACATGGCAATTGTAATGCATAAGCCCTTGAGACAGCTTTGTAAACTGCAGCTTTTTCAACACTTCACCTTACCATTCAATTCACATATTCTTCTAATGGTTCAGTAACAGCACTGTCAGAGTATGCCTTCCGACACTTGCCACAATAAACTAAGATTTATACTTTTCAATTCCTATGAACTATGGAAAATGTCTTAAAACACCACAGAACACAAACATTAACTAAAATACTAGAATAGCTATGAATAGTGTCACAGAAGTCTGACTCAACATCCATATCCTCCCAAAATATCCCCCGAAACACCTTCCTCCAAATCACAGAAGAAATCAAAACCAAACTAAACGCTCTAAAAGCCCAAACACAGTACTGCAATCCCAGAAAGCTAACCTGATGTAAGTCCTGCTTTTATAGTTTTTTGGGTGCAAATTCAACTGGCAGAAGAAAAGTAGTAGATTAAAGAAACAAAAGACTATATTAACCCTCTACGTATGTGTTAGGGACTGGGTTAAGAAGTGTGCTCTATGTGTTTGCAAACCACCTTATGTACTAGGAGTTACTAAGTGATCTGTGGAAGATAATGTTTTACTATTAGCTAAATATTACACAAATATTAATTGTTTCAGATAAAAATCAGAACTTTCTGTGAGTGATAACTTTGCTCTTTCTGGACTAACCAGATATAATGATTTTTGAAAACATTCCCAGAATTCCCCAAATTAAAGTTCTATCCCAATAACACTTACTTTTTCTTCATACTATTATTAATTAACATACATAATTCCTTTTCTGATCTGAGTCTGCAAAGAAGGTGAGTGAAATTAAAACCCAGAAAAGAAGAATGATGAGATAAAATGTTTGTAAAAACGTATCTGTAAACTCTCTAAGACCTTTCTATAGTAGTACAATGGTATTTTTTTAGAGAAGAATTAGAATCTTAGAATTCCAACCTGGTGGCATTTTATGCATGCTTTGTGCTGGCACAAATAATCATAGGATAACTTAGGTCAGAAGGGATCTCCAGAGGTCAATCTAGTCCGGTCTCCTGCTCAAAGCAGGGCTACATCAAAGTTGGAAAACGTTGCTAAGAACCTTATCAGTTTAGGGATGGAAACACTCTGATCAACTTAATCCAGTGCTCCTTAACCATTCCAATAGTATTTTTTCTTTTTGTTTATATCCAGTTGTAATTTCCCATGTTACAACTTGTGACTATTGCCTCTTGTCCTTTTGCTCTGCACCTCCGAGAAGAATATAGCCTGTCTCCTTTATAAGCCACCCCTCTCTGACAACAAAACGTGTAGTAAAAATAATGAATTTGACCCACAGGGCTGGAGAACTCGCCTTCATTTTGCTACCAAATAAAATTAGGAGACTAACAAATGGGAAATTCTATTGCACAGAAGCAAATGCACTAGCACACTCTCATGCACAAAACAAAAATTTCTCGTCTGATTAATGGATGAAATCTAGAAACCGACACAGGTTCTTCTACAGCATTAAAATTACCAGCTTAAAAAACCGAGTAAGAACAGAAAAATTGCATGTTCTAAACAACAACATAAAATAGAAAATTAAATCAGCTTCACAAAACCTTTTCAAGAAGAAAAAGGTACATCAGCCTGAGAACTTTACACATGCTAACATTTCTGGCTTTTCAGCAAATCCGTTACCAGGTGAAGGTAAACAACCTACTGTCAAAATTCTCTGGCGTAAGTAAGAGCATTATTGGTACCTTCCTGATTTTTATTGTTGTTTTCCATTCCACCCATCGAACTCGGCTGATAACTTCCTCAGGAACGTATGACAAAATTTCAGTTCTGTAGGAGAACTGTGTTATAATCTGTAACAACAGCATAGTATTTCAGTGCATCTCATAGACATGTGCAGGATGGTCTCAGACACAAAATCTGCCTGTGAAGCTCTGCAGGGAGGATGGAACCTGACGCATTTTATCCTTTCCAAAAACAACCATAGCTTTTCAGGAACATCTTTTTACCATTTATGTAAGGGCTGAGTACAAAAGCATTGCAAGTTTATAGTTGCTACTCCAGTTCAGAAAATACACACAAAAGATGGTTTTAGTTCCTCTTAAGTTAGCAAGCAGCCCAAAATAAAATACCTGTTAGAGAAAAGATTTTTGTGTAAGTGTATTTGCTCAGACTGCAAGTTATTCTAGATTGTCCAAGTCTTGGGACACATATTCCCAGTACCTGATTGCCAAGAGGTCTCAGAGACTTGATATTCCTGTGCTATTTGCTCTCCCACCTCTACTGAAGCCAGCCTGAAGCTCCTAATATATAAATCCCAAATTCTTTCCTTGAAAGAGGTAATTCTCATTTCCAAAGCTTGAGAAGGAGGGTTAGTGAATGCAGTATCTTTTGAAAGCATGAATGACACACATATTAAATGTTTTTCGTAAGTTAGTATTCAGAAAATTCGCTGTAAGATGACACGCAGTAGAAAAAACAAGCATTACAGATGTCTGCCTGGTTAAGTGCTGCTATTTTTTGGCTCTGTAATTTAGTTAAAAAGACAAACAGCATAGTCTCCTAGTCTCAGATGTCATTCACAAAACTCTTACTGACCTCAGTTCCCTCATAAAGGGGAAACCCTTTATGAATGCAGGGAGAAAATGCTGTAGAAAACGCTGTATTCAAATGCTGTGAATGCTGTATTCAAATAGACTGAATAGAAATCACTGTATGTGATCCATTCAGGGATCATGCAGCTATTGCTACAGTGTGTCAAAAGCATTATCTGAGTCTGACTCTTCTTTAGGATTGCTCAAACATTTAGGGTCAGCTAGAAAGCAGACTTTAATACATTCCTAAACTATTCTATGAGCTGTGCAGGGAAGCTAGTGCTTCTTTGTTGCATAACAAAGAAAGGAACATGCTTTTGAGCAGGAAAATAACTTGTGTAGCATAAAAATCTACCATGTTTCCACATTAGATTTTCCATACTGTTTTTTGAGCATGTTTATAATTAATGACTCCCCCTCCGCCCCATGTTTTCTTGCCCTGCCTTGAAAAGAGCATTCTTAGAATCATAGAATCATTAAGGTTGGAAAAGACCTCCAAGATCATCGAGTCCAACCGTTAACCCAACACCACCATGCCCACTAAACCATGTCCCTAAGCGCCTCATCTACACGTCTTTTAAATACTTCCAGGGATGGCGACTCCACCACTTCCCTGGGCAGCCTGTTCCAAGGCCTTAGTTTCAGGAAAATAGTTAGCTGGCTTATTGTCACTCTTCTAGCTTTAGAACATTAAATTGTCTTGATTCCAGCTATTAAAACAACAGGAAATGCAACTATGCTAGTCAAGCGCAATTTTTTAAAAGGGAAGGAAAGCCACTACAAAGAAATGCATGGAGCACACCTAAGCAAGACACTCCTGAGAGAATTTCAGTATGCTCGCGTTAATTACTGATAATAATCAGATCTTTGGAAGTGTATTAAGTTTGTGCAGTGAAAACAAGCTATTTTCATGTAATCTCCTGGTAGTATGTACGCTTCAAACTTGCTCAGATAAAAAACCCCTAAACCCTGGAAACAAGATTTCCATCTGGGAAAATATAAATTCTTTCCTGCAATTAAAATGTTCTTACATGTTCTCTAGTAATGTCTCATTACTATCATGTAGAGCTATAAGTTACAGACCACCAGCAATAGTCTAGCAAATTGAAGGAAAGCCATGTGGCTTACTAAAGTTTTCTTCTTTACAGCTTATGAAAAAAAAGACAGACCTGGCAATTTTGTTAGTTTTTAATAAGTACTGAGTATCTGCATGAGCAAAATCTCATTCACATGTTGAGTATACCCCATACTTCAATATTACATAGTTTTATAGCTCAGATTCAGTCTTGCTGTGGAATTTTGCATATCTCAAGTGCTGTCTGGAAGATCTCCATTAATGTTTCTGCTCTGAGACTTAGGAATACTTTATGAAAATCCCCCTTGCTACATATCTTTTCTTCAGATCTCTGCCACCTTAACAAATAAGTGGCTCATGGGGTCACACTGGATTATGTCCAGGCTGCCAGTGCCTACCTAATTTCTTTAGTTTTTAGCCTATTCATTCATGCATTCTGGAAAATCCTTTCACTGCTTACGGAGCTAGGTGAAGAAATTATAGGAACTGTCATTGAAAAATGAAGAAACGGACATAGAGGCAGTGATAAGCAAGAACAAACTCAGTTCATTATGAACTGTTAATGCTTTGCTAGGAAATCATAAGGCCATGACTAAACTGTCTCTCAAGCCCCCACCAATCTGTGAATTTGGACTGTGAAAGAACTGTATCCCTGTCAGACCCGCTGACACGATAGGTAAGAGAGTGCTCCAGTGGCCACAGGTAATATGATAATCCCACCAAAACCAAAAAGGATGTTTAGTCCTTATAAATGAGTGGAATAGAGTTGGATTAACAACAGAACAATATATAAGCTAACCACAGTCACACTGGAGTGAAAACAAAGAAAAAGGATGCTTAGAAATCAGGTCAAGTTTTACAGTATAGTTTAACTTCCTTCACAGTCCTTTAAAAATTTTCTTCCCATATTAAAAATGCTCTCTCTTGAAGTAGTAATATATCTCACAGATATGCGTATAGTTTATAAAGGAGAGGTTCATATGACTCAGACCATCTTAACATTTTTAGCTTAAAAGCAACCTGGGGTATTTATTGCTTTCTCCCAAAAAGCACCTTCTAAAAACCATTCTGAACGTGTCTTCAATTCCATCTCTACACACTTCTACCTCTAGAAAGACAGAACTGTGTATCATTAGAAGTTATGTATGTTTTCAATAACTGTTTTATTTTTTCTATTTTCTAATAAAAATAGCCTCCATTTTTGTAATCTGTAGTAGTAGTTTGGGGTTCTGGACCTATGGATTAAGTATGCTGATATGCTTCTACTTCTCTCAACTATAATAATATCCCAAGCCAAAAGACGAGCGACGTTTAAAGGAAAAGGGAGTGCTTGAGTTTGCTTTCTCTGTATGCTTTGAGTACAGGTCTGTTAACTTACCTATAGCAGTATATTTTTGTCTCTGTGTCCACATGCTTGGAAACCGCAGAGAATTAGACTTTCACTTAAGAATATTAGCTGAAAAGGCCAGCATGTTTAGTTTTGTATTTATACATTATCGTGGACAATATTTTAAATCTAAGACATCACAGTTAATTCCCCAACAGATGGCCTGCTGATAACAGTAAGAGTTATTTCTGATAGTTGCTGGTGCTTGCTGCCACCTTTATGTTAAAAATCCTACAGCATTATTCTTTCCATTTATCACTCCCTATATGTTGCCTAGCTTCCACAGCCCTGTATTTCCTCACCTTTGCAGTAAGACTAGCAGTCTCTGCCAAGTAAGCCAGTGAATTGCATGTACATCTACTCCCTAAGTAACCTACTGAATGACCTGAGCTTGACTGTTAAAAAAATAACCTAGAAGAAACCATCTCTCCTTTGGGCACAAGATTTTCCCCAGTGTGGCCTGTACACAGCTTGTCCCTCTTCTGTATGCTCATTCCATTCTCTCACTCTCCTTTCTGGTTTCTTGGTTTGGATGTGACTGGTCTTTGCTGTTTATAAGAATGCCTGGATTAACAAAGCATATACAAAAGCAGAGGAAAACAAAAAAGACTTCATCTGTTTAGAAGACAATTTCCTATGGATTTGTCATGATCAGCAACACCTGTTCTTCCTTTGTCTTTTCTCATTCTTGTGAAAGTTACGGGTACACATACTGGTTTATTACATCTCATAGTAGATTTCACATCTCTCAGATTTCACATCTCCTATTAGATTTCACATGTCATACTAGAGAAACATAAACTAGATAAACATAAATAGCACCTTGGTCCTGCTTGTATCTGCTTTGTTTCCATATCCCAGACTGACTTACATTTTAGGGGGGAAAAAACAATGCCCCAAACCCCAATTCCTATTTTCAGCTCTTCTGAACTTACCTATTACAAGGGGTCCAACCATACTGGAAGCTGCTTCAGCCATCACCCAACACACAAGGGTTACTAACATTTACACACTGACAACATGGACCAGGCACCTTACACATCAGAATGAAGGAAAGAACCCCAATTTCCCCAGTACTGGAATGGATCTGTAGCAGTTCGATGCAGAGTAAAACCAGACTGAGTCACCAAGATTTCTCCATGACCTGAACATCCTACCTAGATTTAGATTCCATACGGCAGCTCTTCACTGTCCCCTCTTGCCAAGTGGCACATCAAAATGTAGTTAGAGTAAAGGCTGTAAAAATTCTATTTGCTCAGAGCCTCTATGCTGCAACATGTCTTATGGCAGTCTGGTTCAAGGCTACTTTCTACACTTTGAGCAAGTCTGCAGCTATTCTCATTGATATCAACGGTATAAACACCCTCTCTATCTGTATCAGTAGTCGTAAGCATTTCTTCAGGACAAACAGTGTATTTTCCGGGACAATATACAGATAAGGACCAACGAGACACATGAGCAACAAAAAAGATGAGGGGGGCATTAGCATAGGTCCTGTAAATTCCAAATAAAAGTGTAAGGAAATGGGCTTTTTGTGGGTAGTGGAGTGTGGGAAGAAAGAAACCAAACTAATGGATGTCAATAAAAAAATTAAACTGAGTGTAACATGCTGGAATGTAACAGAACATATTCTTTGTAAATACACATCAAGATACACCTTTTCAGCGGTGTTTCTCTCCCTCCCTCCATTTAAAAGCAAGAAGGATGATTAGTTTTTTATGGGTTTTTTTTAGTGTTACCAGCCTTCACCTGGGCAGTGGCATTTTGAACTCTTCTATATATATGATGTGATAATAGGAATAGATGAGAATCAGTTTATTTTGCTCAGAGGAATCACAAAATTATTCCCTTCAGCAAAAGACTTTAAGACCTGCTTCTCAAAGGAAAGGCTCAGGGTTGCCATATGCCAAAGAAAACATGCAGCACTAGCTTTTCAAACCTTGGCTTACATTTGTGCTACTGTGCACTGAAAAAAGCTCTCTAAGATGTGAAGCCATCAGGATATTTTCCAGAGGGTGAGCTCATGGGCAGCTGCTTCCACAGGCAAAACATTTTCCAGTGATACTGACTTTTCTCCATTGTTACTAGAACTAATTTTGCAGACGGATATTGTATACGGACAACACAGTATTCATTAGTTTATGGTATCATGGAAATAATAACTAAAGACTAAGAAAAGCATGGCCAAATAATCCAGAACTAAATTTATCAATGGAAATCACACTTTGTAAAGGGGACTGATTATTTTTAAATTGGCAAAAAGAACTATAATACCTAGCTCTTAAATTTTTATTGCAGAGCTCAAACAAAGCAGGAATATTACTGACAGTTTAAAGACAAGTGAAACTGAAGTACAACAAAAAAGTGACCTTGAAAGGTAGTAGTCAATGCCACCCAGATCGTGCATTTTGAGTGCTCCATCTACCAGATAACAACTTCCAAGGCTAAATTTTATTGAAAAAGTATTTATGGAGAACTCAGGATGCAAACCTAAGTCTGTGTATTTATGTCTTGATTCACAGTTAAGCTTCTCCTATTATTTCTTTACTCAATACTCAAGGCTTCTGAGAAAGAGAAAATAGCACTGAGGCAGATAGCAAATAAGCATACTTTGGGGTTGATGGGTACTAAAAACATGCTCTTAAGAAAAATAATCCCAAGCCTTCTGAAATCAGTGGTTATTCAGCTTCACCCAATTCTGATGAACCTCAGCTCAAGCATATGAGCTTTAAAATTTTCATGAACAGCTATGGTGTGTGATTTGTTCCTCATTAAGAAAGACTGACATAACATGCTATGAAAGACAAAATACTTTCAGTCCAGTACATCACATGTACAAAGTTATACCAATGAGAAAAGCTGGGATGGTATTACTTTAAACCGCAGTAGCAGAAACAAATGGAAATCTGTTTTTTAAGGCATTTGCCTGAAGTCAGAAAATCTGGGTTCAAATTTTCTGTTCTGTCGCAGATTTCCTTGACCTGGGCAAGTTTTGTTATCCTCTATTTTCCACGAGCTTAGTGAGAGAGATAGCATTTCCTGTCAGAAAGACCTCATGAAAATAAATATTATGACCGGGAAGACTTAACAAAAGTGTGGTTTAAATTCCTTATAGAAAATACGATGTGCAGCCTGTAGAAGTAGCAGCACCATTTATTCTTAACAATTCAAAATGGGGTTTATGACAATTTACAGGCACAAGGTGTAATCCAAAACTTACTCTTTTTTTTTTTTTTTAACTCTTTTTTTATAATGGATATAAAAACTATCCTGTGAAATAGTAGGGCTAACAAACCCAAAATTAAGTGGTTAAAGCAGGCCACTACTGTATACTTGACATACACTTTAGTACATAGTGCTCTGCTAAGAGTCTGTGCAATTCTGCAAATGCAAATAAGTTAGGAAACAGCTACTGTATGGTATTTTTGTTAGTCAGACATTCACTGCTTTGCAACAAAGAATAATTAGCTGATGGGGAAGTATTTCAGATTAGCCTGGGGACTTCAATTTGTTATTCTTACTTAACGTTTTGATCAAGTACTATAATAATCTTCTACATTTGTTTAGTAAATTGTACCGTTTCTGAGACAACCACAAACACATGCCATAAGAGGAGGAAAAAAAAGTTAAATGTTTGAATGAACAAATTCAGTTTCCTACTTATCATCATGTACGCCTTCTAAAGATATTCACAACCCAGAAGCCCCTGAATGCATATATGCTCGAGTGTAACATGGACGTCTGGGTATAGAGCATTCTTTTAGTACAGGAAGCAGTGTCTACAAGACACACAGTAACTGGCAAGCATAACAGAAGGGAACCTATGGAAGGTAATTATTTTCCCTTTTTTCTCCCCAGAAGTTGAATAATGACACTGGTTTGATAGGAAAAACAGAAGAGAAAAATATGTTTCCAATCTGTAGTCAGCTATATTTATGAAAGTCTTTTCCCACATAGTGAGGTTGTATCATACTAAATAAAGCAGAGGACAGAAAGAAAGCAACTTATCAATTAACTAAGTGGTAGAAAGTCCAAATCACTACAGTCAGCAGTCTGTAAAACCAAAGACACCATTCTTAGGAGACTAGCTCATAGTCAGAAAAGCCAACAGTTTTGTGGTATCATTGGTTTCAAGACGACTGGATATTTTCCATGGACTAAGGGCTGGAAAATTTTTCTACAAAACCAAATACATATACTAGTTAACCTTAGTAGGACTTGAAGTACTCTAAACAACTGAAGACAAATCTTTGCCACGGCAACAACATGCGATTTGTAATACATATTGCCGGCACAGTGGCCAAGTGAATGGGATCACTCATAGGAAAGTAAAGGTGGGACTACGACCAAGTTTATTACTTCTATCTGATGCTAGCTAGCCAGAACGTAGCATCCGTATCACACACACGCACAAATGCAGAACTATAATGAGGCCGAGTCAAAAAGGCGAAAAAACTTTCTCAATTAAAAAGATTTGTATAATTTTTTACTTATATAGTTCCAAATTTCAAAACAGCCATTCTTGCCATTCTCTGGCATCTTCCCTTGCATATCATCAGTCTAACGAGAGTGTGAATACTTACAATACCACAAAAGCTTTTTTCCAAAAACACAGTTAAAAGCAATGCCTGTAATGATGTTGCTAGTAAGTTACTAAGAGGGGAAGTAGCTAATACGATTGCTTTCTGGAACATTATTTCTTCAACACAAGGGTGAATTGAAACATACATATTCTGTATTGGCCAGTCTTCTTTTCTTGTTGTTTTGTGAACGTTTGTCTACATGAAAGGGAGAACAATTATGGCTTCAAACCACACGACTTCTGTCTTTCAAAGAGAATAATGAGAAGCATCTTAAAAACACATCAAGAAGAGAATTTTCCTTATACAAATCCTCATATAAGTAAAGGAAAAAGGAAAACTTTAAAAATAGATGCCTTCCTTAAATAAGTTACAAATATATTAATTAGAGCCTTAAATAATTATTTAAATTGCTTTAAAGCATTTTAATGATGGTTGCTACAATGAGAGTTGCCAGAAATAGCTTGACATAAAAATATGGACCACAACTATTTTCATGTTGAAACTGTAAACTATACAATTAATTAACTTTTCAGCTCTTGATAGGCTTGAGAACCTCTGCTTATTATTTACACTTTCAACAGGGAGGCAGACGCAGATTTGCATATGTATGTTTAAATCAGACTCTCAAAACTGTTCCCCGATGCAGCTTCATTGGAAAGGATTTAGAGGATAGCCTCTGTCTACATTTTCTTGTTGAAACAGCAAAGCTGCTTGGCAAAATCCACACTAATACTACAAACACTAAAACATGGATCCAAATAATGTATTATACTTTTAATGTATTCATGATAAAATGTCTCCAGAGAGACCTTAAACAATTATGAGATGGTCCTATGGACAGCCATCAACATGACTACAGCATTGGAAAACTTGTCATAGGAAGAAAGGTTAAAGGAATTGTGTTTGTTCAGCCTAGAGAAGTGAAGGTTCAGGAAGGGGATCTAACCAGCCTTCCAGTACCTAAAAGGCAGTTACAGAGATGATGGAAATATTCTCTTCAGAGTGATACACAGCAACAGGACAAGAGGCGATAGGAGAAATTCCGTCTGCGTATAAGCAAAAATTCTTCACTGTGCAAACAAATATTGGAATAGGTTCCCCAGAGGAAGAGTGAAACTTCCCTTGCTGGAAATATTCAAGATCTGGTTTGATAGGACCCTGGATAAACTAACCTATGGCCCTGCTTTCAACAGAAGGTTGGACCAGATGATCTCCAGGGGTCCCTTCCAGCCACGACTCTATTATTCTATGATAAACGTGATAAATGTGCTAGCCTATGCCTACACATCTATTATTGTAGGACAGTTTGGAGTACAGCAGTTATATGGACTAATTTGTTGTAGCAAGGCTATGCATGTACAAGCAGAAACCTGACACTGATTTTAACTGCGAATA